CTTGGAGATTATTCAGGGCTTTCTTTTTTTTATGAATTAGCTTCAGCAACATAGAGAGGACACTTGAAAAGTTGACCACCAGCTGGCTGCACCTCGTCCTGGGTCAAGATGGCAGTGTTGCCCAGGCTTCGAGGCACATCGGAGTCTCTGTGGGCTTGGCTCACTTTACCTCTCATTTCTCTGTGGCCAAAAAAGTGTCCAGCCACCTTATTTTTGATTCTGAAGTTTGTAGACGAATGAAGAGAAGCACTGCAGGACTGTCTTTGGCCCAGTGTGCAGCACAGTGAGCCCGAAGTCACCCAAGTGTGGAGCCTCTCTCTGCAGAGAGAAAGTCATGGTTTCTTCAGAACATTTTTCCCAGTTCAGGTTATTGAACCTGCATGCAATCTTAGGAAATCTAACCACCCCATCCTCGGTCTTCTTGTAATGAAAAAAGAGCAGTGGCCTGTTAGTGACTTCAGAGAAGCATTTCGCCGGATCACTATTTTTTTTTTTTAATAGCTTAAGCTTTTCTCAGAAACTCTTTACAGGTAGAACTATTGAAGCCCCTAGAAGAATGTAAAAGGAGTGTTGGGCTCAACATAAAGAAAATCTTTTAAACAGTTTACTCAATGCCTTTATACAATAAATATTTATTAAACAAACAAAAAAGACGAGTGTCATACTCTGAACAAATACTGAAAGTGGAATGAGCAATACAAATACTGTCACTGGAAGAAGGTCCAGAATTCTTACAGGAGCTTCTCTCTGGGAAGAGAAAGTCTCACTCTTTGCATTGGTCAGTGTAGAGGACCTTGAATGTTTTACTGTATTTGAATTTTTCCAAGCATAGATTCATACTGGCTATATTGTTTTAAAACTATGCTTCAGGTGTTGTGTGCCAGCATTTCATGCTGTGTTGCATTGCATTGGGATATACAAATTTGTTAAAACACTTTTGTTGTTGTTCCTAGGATTTAGAAGAATTCTGCTTCAGGTTTTGCATAAACCATTTGACTGTAGTGACACAGACTTCAGGCTTTGCAGAAATGGACCACGATCTCCTGAAGAACTTTATCAGCAAAGCAAGCAGAGTTGGAGCCTTTAAAAACTGATCCTCACCTGCAGGAAAGAGTTTTTAGCATTTCCATTTTCCCTGCCAGAGAATAACTTCTCTTTAATAGTATTCAAGAAGAGCTGCTTTTGGCTGGATACTTACATTCTGTCGAAAGAAGGATGGTGGGTCAGTCTCCCCCACCTTTTGAAACCCAGAGTCTACATGGAAGGCACTATAATGCTCTGATCAGATGTGACTGAGCTCAATTTAAATGTCTTATTACATTTACCATTGTGTCTTGTGGGTCACTTAAACAGGAGACTATTGGTACATGGGTCTTTAGTATATGCTATTCTGGCCGAATTTCCATATTCAACAGGCTGATCTCACACAGACAGCTTGACAAGGAATGCTGTCACCACCACATTTTCAGCATCCCACACAGTGCCTTGCATATAGTAGGCACTCAGTTTATTATAAATCTTAATTATACCCTGAGAGCAGCTTTTTTCGTGGGATACTGGGTGAAGGAATAACTTGCACAGAAATAGATCTAAAGCAGCCTGTAGCTACTGAGGTTCATATTCTTCTGGTACATTGTTCTGAGAAATAGTGGCTAATTTCGAGCATTACTTAGAATTCACAAAAGGCCTTGGCAATTAAATTGTCAAAGACCCAAGGGCTAATTTTAATCCTCTGTTTACTCCAAGTCATTAATTTCTCATATGGGATTATCGAATATGGAGTAATATCTTTGAATGAATGTTATTTCTGGGCTCATCTGCCTTACATAACTGCATCATGTCCTTTACTTCTGTGTTAAGAAAGATTCGCCTCTCTAAGTATAAATGATTTTGTGTTTTTCTTGTAGTTGACTTTTATGTCACCATAAAATAGGTCTCTTCACTTAGCACAGTATAATTATAAAGTACTGGCCGAAAAGGAGTGAATACTTGCATTTCATGGATAGCACTAAATAAGAATGAGCTAAATTTATACTTTAGATCAACACAGGTTAGCCAACTGCAAATGAGAAGCTGGAATGGGACGTAGGATGTAGCATCAGTGTCTCCTAATGGGTATTGCACAATGTGGTCTCATGTAAAGAACACGCTTGGAATTAGAAACCTTGTTCTGATGCTGAACTATTTGATAATAAAGTGCTTCTCTGCAGATAATAGAACAAACGTGTGGATTTTAAAAAAATTCTTCAGAAGCAGCAAGATTATATTAACCTTATGTCTGTTAGACATACATAAATCTGTATAATAGAGGCTATTTTTTAAAGCAGTTACTCAGGTAAGGTATCATAGCAAAGCCCACTCCAAAACATACATGGCTTATAAACAACGTAATTGCTCTTCATACTACTGCCTGTGACCACTCTTACTGCTGAGGTTTGGAATCCTGTTTCTTTTTGTTTCTCTGTTTTTTGCTGACCTTGCCTGCTAGAGGCAAAGTAGGCTGGATGTCTCTAGTTCTAAATCACAGTCCTATTTTTGGAACGATAGAGTATTTGTTATTTTAAAACTCAGCCCTGCACTGCTGGTTTTCACGTTTGGGTGGATTTGCTATTCCATCCAGCAAAGGGACATTGAGACATGCGTATGAGCAGTAGCCCCTGTGCGTGCTGTCCCCGACCAAAGCCGCTGCCTCTTACAGTGTCCTCCCAAACCTTCCCTTCCTCTTTCTTGTCCTTTTCTGACAGGGTTGTCTGAAGTTCCTCAGTGCCTTTTTCTTTCATGAGCTCATTTCGTGTAAAAACTGGAACACTCAAAGGGAACAGGTAAGTGTATTTAGGGATGAGAAATGGATTACCTGCCAAGCGCCACGGCAGGTCAGCACCCACACTGCCAGGGTACACGTTATTAAGAAGTGTGGATGGAGTTTCATCCACATTGCCTCTAAGTTGTGTTATGTGTCAATTTGCACAGCTGTCTCTCAGTGTTGCTCATTTCTGGGCACAAAAGAATAATCCCTGAAACTTTTCCAAAATATAGATTCAAGGATTCTAATTCAGTATGTCTTAAGAACCTTCACAAGTAATTGTGATGTTTTGCCAAGAATGAGAGTCACTGGTTTAGCCTTAAAACCTGGGACACCAAACAAGAAGAAGAGCTAATTTTAGACCAGTAGATGACTGAGGAGTCCCGTGGTGACGTCTCTCTGACAAAAACATGCTTTCTCTCTTGTCTTTGCTGATAGGCTGGCCATCCGTGCGCCTGTGTGGAGGACAACAGCACTGTTTCCTTCATTTCTAACAGGTGAGTGTCTGCAGCGCTCAGAACCCTGCTGTTCAGTTAGGGACATGTGAGGGAGGAGGTCCATTTTCATGGTGATACTGCACCAGAAATGAATGGAGTCTTTCTTTTACCTAAGTTCATCTGACATTTTCCATCCTCGAGTTTTGTTTCCTCTCTGCTCAAACAAGAAGTTCAGTGTTTTAGTGCTTCCTACATAACTGTACCCTAATTTACACAGAGAGAGGTTCAGATTTTACGGGAGTAAAGCAGCGTCCTCATCTGCTGAGAGGGGGTTTGTGAAGATACTGTCTAATGCTTCTTAAAAAGTGAAGGTTAATGTTCTTCATCTGAGACCTGAAGAAACTGCCAGTCATTCTAGACCATAACCTGGTGAGTTTTATTTAGAGTCCGAATTCTTGACCCGTGACAATGAAAAGGAAGCAACTGCAGACTGCGTGGTCTTGGTCACCTTACTGATCCTCTCCGTGCTATTAGCACAATAAATGGGTTGGGAGGGTTGTAAACAGAAAGGAGAGATCATACCATACTGCTGTTTTTCTTTGCCAACACATAAAGACATAAACCATACTGATTTTCTCTCACTAAATTCAGTTAAAATCAAAACATTTCCTGTTCAGAAAGTAACTGATGTTGGTCTGTGGAATAAATTAAATTTTTACGTTAAATTGTCAGCATATGTCAATACTAAAGATAAGTATAGTCCCAAAATAATGGACACAAAAAAGGCTAAGAATAGATAACTATTCCAGCTTCATATTAAAAGAGTTGTTTTAATTCCATTCCGATATTATACAGTGTTACCACATTTCTATTTAAGAAGCCTTACTTGTGGTAGAAATTTGCTATTTCTAGAGACAAGGTTTCAGGTTGTCCTGTAAAACAAAGGAAAATTCTACTGAATAAATCCTTACCAATGCTGTGCACACTGTCTGGTCCAAAAATGAGGAAGAAAAATATGCTCATACAGGTAAGTTTCTATGAAATCATCCGGATGTACTAGAATTAATATGTGGGTTTTTTCCCCCTGCCATTTGTACCAGAAAACTGTAATGAAAAGTAAATACATGAATTTGAACTTGTCCCTTTTATTATAGAGTGTTAATTACTGGGCTACATTAATCTCTGGACGTGATCAGTTTTCTGTGAGCCAGACTGAAAAGTTTTAATGTCACCAAGGCTGCTTGATTTTGCCCTGACCTGAGAGGTAAGAGAGAGACTGCATTTCACGTGAGATCCCATCCAACATAAGGAGTGGAACAGTAAAGAGGAAAGAGTGGGAACCTGGACAAGAGTTAAAAGATGATGCAGGTTTTTGACTTGAGCAAGTAAGTGTTTGGTAAAATGGGGAAGGACTAGGATGAAACAAGGTGTTTTTGTCTGATTTTGGTTGATATTTTGAGAAGTTGGGTAGGAGGAGGGGTAGGAATCAAGTGTTCTATTGGCTGTGGGAGCTCTGACTTCCATGAAGTGGTCAGGGCTGGAGAAATAAATCTGAGAATCATCAGCATCTAAAGCCCACTGAAGGCTAACAATGGATGAGACACTAGGAGAGAATCTAGAAATAGGAGAGAACGTTAGTACACTTACTACAAAGACCACATCAACCATTAAGACTCTAACTAATTTATTTAAAAATAGACAAACTATTATTAATTGTAGAAAATAGTAACAGAACAGTTTTAAATGTACAGTTTTAACCAATACAAAAAGCAATAAAGCAATCTCTGAAACCTTAAGAAAATCTCAGTACACGATCTCTGACGTTCCTAAAATTGTGGCACTAATTCTAACATGAACTTATTAGCAAGACACCCGGAAATGTGGTAAGCCCTTGAACTAAAAGCTCTCTGATTTGTATGATATATTCATGCAGAATGAATGAGGAAATGGGATAAAGCTTTCTAATGACTGTTATCCAGACAACTGTCAAAAAATAAGTTTGAAACTTAATTGAGCACAAAATAAAATTTTGTTTTCTAACAAGACCAGATTTCTTTTTAAAAAGAACTCTGAGTTTAGACAAAGTGATTTTCCTAAAAGCTAGTAGATGCTACCTTAAATACCATCTATTTTAAATTATACCATCTCTAAATAAGTTAATCACACAAGATAGTTTAAATACACCTTTAGGTGCCAGGGTGGGGTGGGGGAGCGCCTCTTTTTCTAATGTAGCTATTTTAACTTGAAGCTTTTGCACAAAAGCAGAGAGAAGCATTAATGCCAAACCCAAAGACCTTTAATTACCTGCAGTTTTGGACTAGAAATAATGTTGCTTTGAATGTGCCAGTGTTAGACCATACTGGATTTAAAAAAAAAAAAAAAAGACAACTGCCAGTTCAAAAGATACACGGAAGACATGTACCATTCCAGAGACAACACACCCTCTTCCCAAATTTAGGAGGGCAGAGTAATTGCTGAGATGCAATTAGATAAATCTCTTAAGAAAAAAAAAATTAAGGCTCCTATAGTTAACAGTCTGTTTGTGGAGTAAAATTACATTGTATCTTGATTCTTCAGGACCCAGAAACATTAGAAAGTGCACTTGGGGTATACTGTATTAGGGTCCTCTACAGCAAAGCTCTAGCTGAACGCTTTATTTTCCAAGTACTATGCTAGATGGGCACTTTATGAATTCAGTGATCTGAATGGTATAAAAACCAGGAGGACTATCAAAATAACTCTTTAAAGCATGAATTGGATGAAGAAAAGAATCAAATTCTCACAAGTCCTGAGGTATGAAATCTGCATCAGTAGTATGACAGTGTCTTGTACGTTTATACTTTGCTTTCGGCTTGTATTTTAAAACTAAAATTTATAAAAAAAACAAACACAGTACATCTGTTTAGTTTCCATTAGTAAACTAAAATCTAATGTGTAAAAATTAGTCATTTTTTTTTCTAGTTTCTAATACCTGTTTTAGCACAAGAGTTCAGGATCATTTGGGTGAATGGAGGGGCAGTCAGCCAAATTGTATTTGGAAGACAAGACGCATTTTTCTAAGGGTGGTCATGTTAAATTAAAAAAATAAATATAAATTAATAAAAATAATAGCAAATATCACATACATGCCACAAGTACTCTGAGAGGCGTGGGCTGAGAGCTCGCACCCCCAGGCTATCCTGCCATTTGTAAAGTGGAGCAGTTTTACTTTGGAAATGGAAACATCTGCTACAACTTTTTAAATGGCAGGATTTACACAAGATTTTCAATCTTGTACAATAACAATGTATGTTCTATTGACTACAATGTTGCAAGTGGCTTAGGAATCCCCTGCACAAATACTCAGTGTGCATCTATGCACTTTACATCCACAAAAAGAGCTGAAGGTATATATTAAATGCGGCCGTGAACAGAACCTGGCAGAGTTCTACAGTCAGATCTGTGGGAGACAGTGAAGCTGGGGGTGTACAGGGTGCCTTCCAAGATCGTGAGCGCCTCACTTTTCTTCCCTGTGTGAGGTATCCATGCTATCATTCATTTTCTGCTTTTGCATTCGTGTTCGAGTAGATGCTAGAAAAAGGATGAAGAAATGTTAATTGCACTGAGGGTGCTGGGTGAGTTGGTAAAGGGCATAATATGTATGTTATGCTCATGCCAAACTGACAGAGCTCAGGGCCGGGCAAAAGCAGTAGTTTCCATTTTTTTTTTTAAATCATATATCCCTATCGGTAAAGGTGTTTCCCCCAAGCATAAACCACTAAAGTGTATGTATGTATGTGTATGTGTATAAATTATAAAACACACATATCCCCAATATTAAAAATTGATGAGCTAAAGATATTCTAACATTTTCTTTCTGTACCCCAATAGCTTGTCTCACACACGCCCAGGTGTGCCCAACTTTGTAGACCACTGTTCTAGAAATGGCACTTGAGCAGAAGAGAATCCTGGGTTGGTCCAGAATTATCTGATTGATAAGGTGAGTGTCACTCTTCACAAGGCTAGAGATTCCCTTGTGTTTGGGGATGTTTTGCGGGTACTACAAGGACATCAGCTCATTTAATCTGGATGTGGACATTTAAAAAGTAAATTATTAATTACAACACAGACAAAAAGAGTGCTGCTTTTATATTTTAAAATTCTTTACTTTAAGGGGTGGGCAAGAGTTCTTCATAAAGAAGCACAGAAGCACATTCATACTTGGGAAAGAAGGAAACTAGTAACTCAAGTCTCCTGGCACGTCCACGCTGAGCGAACTAGCAATGGCTGAGCATCCTTTTTTGAGTGCAATTTTTTGAGGAGAGATGAAGAGCAGCCTGGAGAACTCCTGAGCCTTAAGGGGTTACAACTCCTGCTGCTTCTCCCCAATGTTCTACCTGCACAAAGGTCCTGAACTTCAGCCTGGCAGAGGGAATTCACCATCACAGCCAAGTGTGTCACTGGGAAATGTACTGACTACAGCAACTGAACCCTTCTATTAGAAAATATACATTATTTTTACAGATTTCTGCTTTTAAAATGCATATCTGTGGGCTCCACAATACTCCCACATGTTTTTAAGGCCTGGTTTTGATTACAAGCTTCCTGTCTATTTTCATGTACTGAGGGGAAAAGCTCCAACTGTCTAAAAGTTAAAACAGGAGTATACTGTTGATGTAAAATTCAAAAAGACATTCATTTATAACTAGAACTGTTAAAACTTTTGGTATATTTAATCTTAATAGTACTCTTCAAAATAATATACGCAGAAAAAATGGTTTAAAATATAAAGTATTTTTTAAAATATTTTTTATTTCAAATTTAGTATCTATAAAGATGTACTGAGGAAAAAAGCTCCTTTTAAAAAGTCACATTTTAATTGGGACTGTTCTTACTGAGATGCCTTATGACCTAGGAATGACAGTTTTCTTTCTCAGTATCTGCTACATATTTGTCTTCTCTCCAAGACCCAGTTCTGTTTCCTGTTAGTGAATCTGGCACCAGATTATCAAGGAAATGCCACACTCACTTCTCATAGCTACCTCTCCAAGACAACCCAGCAGCAGTTTTATCTTTTTCGTAATATGCTTTCCACCTACTTGGGTTAATCCTTTATAGTCTCAGAGTAGCTTAGGAGAGAATTCCATTTGCCTTAACATTCCAAACGTACATCATCCTGTATACCTTAGAAAGTGATCCAGTGTTCTTTGTCAAAATTCTGATTTCTAGTAACGGAAAACTTCCCTAATTTGCAAGTTTTAGAACTTAATTTCAAATGAAAGTTCAGTAATAGCAGAATAAAATATTTTTAAAATAAAGGTGATGATGTTTACATTGCTAATTTGTACTTTTCCCTATATCCAACTGTCTGAAAAAGTTCCTCATTATAGTTCTGCTATCCTAACATGTTCTCTAACCACAGCCATTTGTGTTGAAGATGTGGTTTCACTTCTTAGTCTTCTTGCAAAATAGATTTTAGGAAGGATGAAGATGAACTTCACTTTGCATCATACATTTAGTCCACAGATGTTTGTAAATAATACCGTCTTGACTGGATTATATTTTAAATGTGTAAACAAGTCTGCTAATTGAAGGGATCATATAAAATTTATTCTTTTATAATGTGAAAAGACTTCCTTTTTGCAATGTAAGCAACTGTTTCATTTACATAAGGTGAAATGATAAGTACTTACTCATTTCTGCCAGTTTCTGTTGAAACTTGGACTCCCCTGGGATATGTTTACTGCAGAGTGAAAAATGCAAAACATTTCATATGTGTATGTATAAATGGAAAATTCGAATTCCCAATAACTAATGCTTTCAATGACTTTTTTTGCTCTTATTTTAATGAGTAGCTTTTAATTAAAAGGTTTATAAATAAAACATCTACAATATAAATGTCACAAATATATGATCTTACATATTTTTTCACTGGTTCTTATAAAATACAGTAGTGTTTTTCGAGAGTAAGCATTTAAAAATCTATTGTTAATCAAAACTAACTTTTATCAATAGAAAAATGATCAGATTTTTAACGTCTGATATCTTCAATGAATTTCAGTAGATTTATAAGGTGCTTTTAACTTTGGGATGCAGTCATACCTAATAACTGTGTGCAATCCTCGTAACTTCCAAATAAAATTGGCATGAAAGGAACTAGTGGAAATCGGGGATGAGCTATCACTCTGGGTTCTCGAGATGACCAGCTCAGCTATGAAAAACATTCTACAACTGCTCCTACCTTCCATCTGCTTCATCTGATCCTTCAATGTCAAAGCGCAGTTTTTTCAGCGGTTTAGGAGGGTTGCTTCCTTCGGCACTTCTTTTGAGCACACGGTCGCTGTTACATACCATTTGATTTATTTTCTGGAACTTCTCAGAAGTCTATGAATTACAGAATTCTTTATTTTAAACCATTAAACACCAGCATTTTGTAGCTAGCAACCCCTAACTGTCGTTTGAGGTATGTCAAAAATCAGGAAAAGATAATACTTGCATTTTAATTTTCTCTTTTATTGGACCAAATAAGAGATATGAAAAATCTTGAAATCAGAGTAACTGCATCTAACTCTTCCTCAATTAAACACACATATATAATTGTAAAGGAATGTTTTTAAAAGTTTTGAAATTCACTAATTATGAGTATGATTTAAATTAAATCTGATTTGAAAATAAATCTGACCTATATCTTCTAAATTCTATGCCACATGCCTGAATGTGGTGCTTGGATAACAGCATTTATAAATTCAAATCACAGAAGTCTTCAGTCTCTTCTATAATTATAGTGCACGCTGTTGTATTTCATAAAAAGAAAATACTCACCCCAAATGATTCACCAATTGATACTAAGATTCTGTCAAGTTAATATAAAATACAAATTAGTAACGCAAATCATAAACAACTGTGCAGAGATGAACATACACACGTCATTCTGAACTACTGAGAACTCCAAACCGCAGGTCTCCTCTACCACTCAGACCACTGGCAAACTATGTTCATCAGAGGCTTATTCTGGTAGTGGCAGTCTGGTCGCACACTGAGCTGCTCTCCTCAATTTTTCAAGCAAGGACTGCATGTATGCAAGAACATATTCTTCCACTGTTCACATTTATAGAGGGCAAATGAAAAATTTAAGTTTACTCATATTTAATTCCTCATAAATCTATGGGTAAGTTAACAATTACAATTTCTTTCACATTTTCTCATTAAAAATTCAAGTCACATTTGACAAAAACTTGTAAGTGATCATTAGCGTTCTAATTAGGATCTATACTGATATACAGTAAAGGCTACTTAACACATATCCTAGAATCAGAAATCTCTATTTGTCTGTCCTTGATGGAACCATATAATTTATGCTCCAGTAATAAAGCTGAAGAACAGCATTAGCCTGACATAAAGGTTTGATCATACAGAACCAGCAGATATGTAGATTTTATCGTCCTCCAATCCTTGATAAGTGGCCATCATTCTACATATGTATTTGATTTACCAACATATGCTGGATAAGTAGAGTGTTAAGATGCTCTCTTAATGCCTGATCAGTGATTTCCCAGGATTTTCAGAATGTGCTTTTTCTCCTAAAGGACTCCAACCCGGAAGTGATTTAACTAAGATCAGCAGATAGCCATCATCATCAGCATAATATGGGTTAATTATCATCATTAAAAAATTACCTCAGTATACATTTTCATGTGGCAGTATAGAAACTAAATAGACATGGTGTGGCATCTTAATAGCTTACAGTGTAAGTTGTAGATATCAGCACATGGGACACTCAACTGTAAGAACACCAAATAAACAGATGGTACGGGGCACATGAGAGTATTTCTATCATTTGCCAGTTATTCTCTAGTTTTTCTTTTCCTGTAGAGTTTGAAATTTTTATGGGTGTCTGTTTCTTATATAATTAAGTCCACCACACAAATGTTTTCCATAGGGTTAATATATCCCCTTCTTGTTTTTCTTGTCCATTAAGTACAACTCCATGGGCTAACAATTTCTGAGATGAGACTACATTAACTTTACTAGCTAATCTGCCTCCACTCTATACAAATAAAGTCAGTTTCAAATAGCCCATGATAACATATAATAAGTCAATTGAAGCACTTCAAAGTCAGAGAGCACTTGCTGTTAGATGTGGAAGATAATATAATGATCTGTAGTTGTACAGAACTTTTAATCTGAGAATTTAAAACAGCTTCACACTTGTCATTTACCTGAGCCACAGCATCCTACCGAAGTGGACACAGAGACCTACCCAAGGTAACACAAGGAGGGCCTCAGGCAGAATTAGGGATGGGAATTCTACAGGCTTAATTTACAATCATCTACATTTAGTCTGTCACCTACATTTTTATAAGATGATGAATAGGTCCACAGAAAGAAGTTACAGGACATTCAATAAACTCCAGAATAAAAATTCTTTGTTCAGCAGGTTGGCTACTTAAAAAAACATGAGACTGATTTGGAACTTACTACCACGCTGGTGCTCGGACTGTTTACAAAATAACAGACCCCAGCAACCAGGAAAGTTGACTAAATTCGCAAACCCAGCTAAGTAAACAGATTATCTTTCTTAACATAAATTAGGAAATTAGGGACTCAAGAGTCTAGCTTATTTTACATGAAGAGAGCTTTATATTGTTATGCTTGGCTCAAAAGAAGCCCCTCTTACTCTTAACCACTTCCCTAAAAAGAAAACACAAACCTTGATCTTGGAGTCATTTTTGTTGGCGTTGGCAGACCTTCTGAAATTTTATATGGATTCTTTAGGGGTGATATATAGATGTTCCCCCCAGGGATCCTTAAAGGTGAACTAGAAAACTTGTAAGGGCTTCGAGGAATGTGAGGAATTGGTGACAAGGTAGGTGGCTAGACCAAAAACAAAAAAGTGGATTATTTACTTAACGTTTTAGTGAGATCCACTGCTTTATAATTAGATTTTCCAAACAAAAGACACTTTGAACATACCCTGGTGGAAGCATACTGCAAAATGTTTGTTTTCAGTCTCTGCATGAAGACTGAATTATAGAACACGATAATGGAATCATACTCCTCTTCTCTGATCAAAACACGCTTGAATGTCTGAGGAAGAGTAAAAACACTTGTTAAATGAATTTAGGAATTTATCTCTTTAGATTTTCTATTTTAATAGCTCAATACTTTTTAACAGTAAAAACATTTTACAGAAAAAAAATCTGGAAAAAAGCTTTCTTAGGCTTGGACTATAGCTGCTCTACTAGCAGTGAAATGTCAGACACACACACATACAAGTTTTTTACATATGTGTAAAAGTTTATTACAAATAAAGTATTATACTTTATAATAGAAATTTGAATATTAAAGTATGTTAACTTTCCAATTCCATTTTAGTTACAAATAATGAACCATTAATATAAAAGTAAAAAGTTGATATGTGAATCTATATAATATGATCAAAATACATAATTAGTGACTGAAGTTATCCATATTCTAGACATGAATATATCATGAAAAGTCTTATTACCATGGAAAATTACCTACCTCCTGAACAGCATGAGGAAGATCTTTGTATGCTGTTACAATGATTTTGAACTTAAGGTCTATATTCTTCACCTTGCATATGCCATACATGGAACACATCATAATCTAGCAAATAAATGTGATGTAAAAATAGTCAGGGGGGAGGGCATAGGTCAGTAGTAGAGCACAGGCTTAGCATGCATGAGGTCCTGGGCTCAATCCCCAGTACTGCCATTAAATAAACACACACACACCTAATTCTATCCCCCACCACTGCAAAAACAGTCCAGAAACTGATAAAGTTTCTCCAGTGATTTCTGGAATGAGAGTCCATGGTATTATATTAGTAAAGTTACTGAAATATTCTCAAGCTCTAAAGCTCTAATTTGTAAGAAATACAGCAAAAATATAAAAGGTAGGCAACAGGTGAATATACATATTAAGTCTACTGAATTGATGCAGCTTCTCCTTTGAATCTAATCCTTTAAGAAATCAGCACACAGCGAACAAGGAAGTAGGAGAAGATGAAGTGCACTGTTTTCTTACCTGGTCCAAATGCCTGTCTCTCATGAGTTCGTACTCGTTTTGCAGTGTGTACTGGAAAAGGGTCCAGATGATGTGTTCTAGTTCTGGGTGGTCAGACAGAAGGCGTGCACACAGGGTATTTAGTCGAAGATACGCTAGTCGGTACACTGGAGAAGTAAGGGGAATTAATCATATTTACTATTAATTTTGTATCACAAGTGAATTTTTTTCAAAACATTAAATTGCTGTAACCAAAATGCTGTTAAACAGTATTTTAACATTAACTTCATCTCTACCACTATTTTCCTTATGAATAAACGATTCCTTGTCTTAGCATTGTGCTATATACACAGAAGGCAAAATAATACTTGCTGAATTACTACAGCATAATATTGAGGCAGAGGTGGAAGGTAGGGAAAGAAAGATCCTAATAAGATTGTGATAGTATAGAAACCAAATAGGGTTTGTTTCAATTCCACTGGTAATCACTCATCACAGATGTTGAAAATCCTCACTATCAGCATTCAAGAGGGGTAATTATTTTTTTAAATAATGGAACTTCTGAAGTGTGTTAATTTTTCCAATCCTAAAAACAAAAAATAGTATCTCAGCAAACTATATTCGATATCTTGTAGTAACCTACAATGAAAAAGATAAAATGAAAACGAATATATGTATGTATAAGTATGACTGAGACATTCTGCTGAACACCAGAAATTGACACATTGTAACAGACTAAAAATGCTAGATTTGTAGATTACCTAAGTGGTAATATGATTATGATACTAAATTATTTAGAAAGTCTATTTAAAAATACTACTGGAACATAGGTTTGGGAAAAACTAATCCACAAAATTGAATTTTCTTCCATCTACTTTAAATATAATGACCTTTGGTTTAAATGTACCTTCCAAAGACCTGCATAAGGTCATTAGAATTCTTTTTAGTTAATTTATCCCAGTGGTCCTTAACTTTAGCTTACATCAGATTTGCACTGAGGGCTTGATAAAACAATTTTTTTTTTGGCCTCTTCATAGAGTTTCTGATTGAGTAGTTCTAGGGTGGGGCTCAAACAAAAATTCTCCTTTCTATAACTTATCAGGTGAGGTGCATTCTGCTGGTTGGGGACCACGCTTTGGAACTACTGCTCTAACTTAAGGGCTATCTCATAAAACTCAGTATATTTCTGACTTGAATAAAACGAGAAAAAAAATTTATCACAGAGGAATCTGGCCTTTTACTTTCCTTCAAAGAGCTCCCAGTGGGTGTGCACGAGCATGTGTATATACACGCACAGACACCCAAACGGCCTCCCCATCCCACCACATACATACATAATCAGAGAATGCTGCACAACCTGGTTACCAGGAAGCGCACCTGCACGAGGCCACAGCATGTTGTATAACCCCAACTCACACACCTGAGAGCACAGGTAATGTTAGGAGCAAATATTTCCAGACATAAATTTGGAAGTCTCACAGCAGCAGCAGCAGCAATACCACCACCTAACGCTCTGAGTGCTCACGATGTGCTAGGCACGGCTGGAAGCTTTGTGTGTATTAACTCATTTAATCACCTCACAGCCCCTATAAGGTAGATGATGATTATTTCCACTTTACGGATGAGGAAACTGAGGCACAGAGCTATTAAGTGACTTGCCCAAAGTCACACCTAGTAAGCAGAGGAGCCATGATTTGAATCCAGTCGGCTTCGTTTCAGAGTCTATGCTCTTCAAAGTAATCACCTACTAACCTTTTTTGTAAAAGAGTGAGAGGGAGGTAGATCTCAATGGCTTCTGAGTCTGGAAGGTTGAGGTTGCTTGAGCCTCTGAATTTGCCGTAGAATTTACACGTGTAGTTGACCCTTTTTTCTTTGGGGATCTTACAGGAGAAAGATACCTAGATATATTCAAAGGAAAAGTCTTCAATTTAAGTTTGCTAAGAATCTCTCCCTCGCTCTCTCACACACACAGCTGTACACATGCATCCAAATACACCTTGTCTATTTAATCTGTTACTCGACACCAAATTCCTATTTAAATACAAGTTGGAAAAAGAGAGCTTAATAGAAAAACTAAGCTTATCATTATCATTTCTAAGTCTATTTTAATAAATTGCTCTTCTTGGGGGATTATTGCTTTATTGGAAAAATAGCCTTATATGTATATATGTTCAATTTTAATAATTATAGTAGGATTGAGATCATAAAATTACTCCAGCTTAAAAGTCATTGATATCAAAAAATCAATTTCTCTAATTCTCTTCTTAAAAATGTTTCATTGATAACTATGGTTCATATATATAAGACTTAAGTTACACACATATACACCCTCCTAAATTATATAGTTCAGAATTATATGAATTAATATTTCAGATAACATTATCAAGGCAGATTTACACCTATATACTAAATAGGTCAGGCATAAATCAAGGCAGAGATATTAGTAAACATCTCTCAATTTCTGATGTTCTATTGCTCTGTGTTGTCCTTTATTTTAGAGAATAATACAGTTCTACTTTCTAATCTTGTTTTAGTAGCTGAGAAATAATTCTGAGCAGGAAGTAGGACACGACCCTTACTATGGATGTTTTTACCACATTCAATACATTAACTCGTACACCAGGAAAAGAGAATCATCATCATGATGATTTGTAAGTACCGGAGGCTAGTCTACTATCACCCTTGGATTTCTCTTCAATTCAGAAACTGACAATACTGTCGACTGACTTAACTTGGATAGAAGTTAGTCTCCTTTGAATTCTAGATACAAAAATTCAATTACCTACTAGACTTCACTAGATGAATTTCAGACTTAAGAAGGCCAAAGTGGAGGAGCTCTTGGTTTTTTCCCCATTTTCCTGTCTCAAGAAATGGCTCCACATTACATCCAACTTCTTAAGTCAAAAACTGAGGCGGTATTTTCAATCTTTATCTTTTCTCAATCTTCAAACCCAATGCAAAAGTTAGTTCTATTAAATCTTCCTCTAAAATACACCCCAGATCTTTCCATTTCTTTCCATTTCTACTGACGTTTGTTGGACTAAGTCACTCACTTGTTCTATTGAAATTGTCTCCAAACTGGTCTTCCTACTTTCTCCCTTGCCCTGTTCTTTCCCATCCTGCAACCCCATCTGTACTTCAAATAACAGCCAGAAAGTGGCCCTTTAAAAATATAAATTACAGTAAGCTGCACCCCTGCTTAAAACCTTAATGCTTTCCCAGTGCCCTTCTAAAATCCAAACTCCTTCCTATGGCCTATGGGACCCGACAAGGTCTAGCCCCAGTTTGCCTCTCCAGCCTCATCTTGTACCACTCTCCTCTTGCTCGCTTCACCCTAGCCACACAGGGCTTTCTTTCTGTTCCTCAGATCAGCTAGATCCCATCACCTGAGGGCCACTGCGCTCACCGTCTGCTCTGCCTGGAGTGCACATCATGCGGCCCTCTGCCCGGCCAGCACCACTTGTTCTTGGTCAAACATCACTTCGTCAGGGAAAACTTCCTATCACTCGCTCAGCTTCTCTTGTGCACGTCATTCTGCTTATTTCCATTACAGAACTTACTTCACTCTAAACTCACCTTATAAATTAGTTCACTTGTTTGCTGTCTATTTCCTTCCTCCAGAATGTAAGCTCTCTGAGAGAAGGACCTAGTTCATCTTACTTGTCTTTGTGTGCCCAGGGCCTAGGACACTTCCTGGCACTGCTTAATGGATTAAAGAAAAACATAAAGCTTGACTTACTTATATTAATGTATTACCTAGCAAACAAATTTAGACTTGAAGGCAGAGCTCCATATGTTAGAAATACTCTGGGTACAAATTGGCATGGAAATGGCACCTCAGGAAAGGAGTCCCTGCACTAATCACAGAACACTGGAATGTCAATTCCTACACAGAACTAAGCAGAACATAACGTGAGGCACACGTCTACGGCAGGCAGTGCAGACAGCGTGTTTAAGAGCACGCTTTGGGTTCAGATTGCTTGGGCTTGATTCCTGCTGGCTTTTGGCAAGTTTCCTTATTTCTCTAATTCCTTGTTTATAGATAACTGAGGCTGACAGCAGCATCTATTACCTTACAGGGATGTTACACAGAATAAGAGAAAACATAGTAAGAATCTGAAGTACCCAGGCAGCTGTCCAGCACACAGGGAGCCTCAGCAAAGGCTACCTCCTGCTTCCTTCTTCGATCGCATCATCGCTCAGCCGTTTTCGTCTCTCATCCCACGCTGCTCCCTATGCCCACCTTATGCTTCACTCCAGATGCACTGAGCTGTATTCCCTGAAAAATGTTTCCTGCTTTCCTGGCTGTTACAGTTTGGGGTTCATGCCATTTCTGTCTCCTCCCTCCTCTCTAGTTTCCATGCTGAAATCCTACTGCACCTTTGAGGCGTATCTAAATCGCTGTCTCTGCCATGAAAACTGCCCTCATCACACCAAACCTGAGTGATTTCAGCACTTTGTACCACCATGACTCGGCTCATGTCTCTTACATTCCTGATCCCGGCAAGCAGGAACCATGTCTTACTCAAAATTCTATTCCCTACAGTTTCTATACAACAACTCGCATTACACTACGCTCAAAATCTATTTGCAGGTTGAATGGATAAACGTAACAGATATTCCACTTACATGTCTGCTGCAGTGTGATTGTTCTGCAGAGGAAGGTTGAGAGAACAAGGAGACTCAAGGTGATCAGCTGGTCCCTCTCGGTCCTTTGCTTGTTTAATAAGGTCAAATAAAGGTGAATCCTATGTGCAACAAGATGGCATAAAACAATATTGGTAAGTATGATTTCCCCATGTACCTATCAAAATCATACTGTTTGACATGATGAATATTATGAATTTTGAAGTCAGAATGAGACTCTTATCTCCACTTTGAAAATAACAAGTGCCAACTTTTGTATTATACACAAAACAAAGGACTAGGAAAATGTACAACTTTGAATGCTTACATTAGAAAAGACATTAAAAGTTAGGGAAAGAGACACAGAAAAGACCAAAGAAAGTAGAAGTATGGGAATAATAAGGACATGAGCAGGATTTAATGGAACTGGAAACAAAACACATGGTTTCATCAGCAGAGATAATAACTGGTTCTTTGAAATAACTAATAAAATTAAACAAACGTCCAGACTGAGAAAAAGCGAAGAGACAGATAAACAGTATTAAGAACAAAGAACGGGACCATCACTACAAAGATCAGAAAGATAATAGGAAATTTTTATGAATAAATTTATGTCAATAAATTGGGAAACTTAGACCAAGTGGAAAATTCCACAAAAAAATAAATTAACAAAGCTCAATAAAAAATAAATAAACCTAAACAGTTCTACAAACTATTAAAGGATTTGAATCAGTAATTAAAAATCTCCCCAAAACAAAACACCAAGCCCCTCTGGTTTTACCAGTGAATTCTACCAAACATGCAAAGAACGGCTAATTCTACTTCTACTCAAATTCTTCTGGGAATGGAAACTGTAAAAACATTCTGCATCTCATTTTATGAGGCTAGTACAACACTGATACTAAAAATTGTCAAGGATATTACAAAAAGGTAAATTACAGTCCATTCTCACTCATGAACAGAGATATAAAAATCCTAAACAAGAAGTATCTGCAACCCAAATCAGCAGTGTTAAAAAGGGAAGATATCATTTACACCAAGCTGAGTTTATCCAGGTTGCAAGACTAGTTCAACACTAGAAAATCTACAGTGCAATTTACCTCACTAATAAATCTATGGTGGAAAGTCTTATCAAAATTAATGCAGAAAAAGTTCTCATTTAAAAATGCATTTGTAATTTTAAAAAAAGAAAGAAAAGAAAACTCTTAGTAAACCAAGAAAAGAAGGGTACTTATTACTTTGATAAATGGCAACTGCAAACAAACAAAAAACTCACAGCGAGCGTTATATGTAATGGTAAAGCATTAAAAGCTTTCTCCTTAAAAAAACTGGAGGTAAGAGAAAGACATCCGGTTATCATGCTTTCTGTTAAGCATTGCACTTGACGTTCCAGCCAGGTTAGTAAGACAAAAAAAAAAAAAAGATCGAAAGATCAGAAAGGAAGAAACAACAAAAATACCATTATTCACAAAAGATTTGACTGCTGATAAAGAAAACTCAAAAGAGAAATTACTATAATGAGATTAGCAAGGTTTCTGTTCTGTTATGAAATGAATATGAAAAATAATTATGTTTCTACACCCCAAGCAAAAAGTTTGAAAGCACCATTTAAAAAATATCATTTACAAAAAAGTAAAACCAGCAGTAAGAATCATTAAAAACACTGATTCAAAAACTTTAACTTTCTGGAGATGACAGCTTGCAAGTCCGTAAGAATGGGAGCCATACATACTCTAATCTTTTAGTGCCTGAACTAAGAAGAGCAAAAAAACAGACAGAATACCAAGATGTCAGGTTTATATAAGAAGGAAAAGAGGTGCATCAGTAAATAAAAATACAAAACACTGTAGAATATAAATAGATTTTGTGAAATTATGTAGATAGTCTATTCAATAAAAAGTGTTTGAAAATTAGCTGGCAATTTAAAAAAGATCATTAAACTTTCACAATATATAGAAAATTACTTTAAAAAACAAAATGAAAAGTATTAGAAGTTACATATGTGAGAACCTTTATAACTTCTTTTTTTAATCTTTTTTTACCTTTATGGAAGTATAATTGACAAAAATTTTATATATTTAAGGTGTACAATGTGATGGTTTCACATATACATTGTGAAATGATCACCACAGTCAAGTTGATTAGCATTTATTATCTCATACAGTTATCCTTTTTTTTCTTTTCATTCCTCCACCCCCTTCTTTATAGCTTCTTGATAAGGAAGGACTTTACAGGTTTGACCAAAATCCAGAAGTCATAAAGAAAAAGATGAACCAATCTGACTACATAGAACCTGAAAAGTTCTGTATGACTAAAACCACAAAAAACTAAGTTAAACAAAAATCTTAAAAAACAAACAAACAAACAATACTGGTTTATTCTACAGCCATTATAATGTATTAATTTCTACTATCAGGTCATTCTTTCCTATATTCATTAGGGGACACTGTGAAGTGCAATCTAAGTAATGGCTTTCATCTGAGTAAAGCAACGCTGACAATACCAGCTACTGTGTGTATGTCGTGCTCAACGTCACATTTTCTAACCACTGACGAACTGAGTATTTTCACATATGGAATAAATCCACATATATTCAGCAGGAGTGGCCTAATCCCATTCTTTTCTCAAAGACATTTCAGGAGACCTCGAGACTCACAAAGACATACAAGTAACCTGAGCCTTTCACAGGACTTCAGTTTGCTACTAACAAGGCATTTTACTTTCTATTCACATACGGTTTGACCCACATACGGTTTACCTGGTTGCGCTTCAGATTAGCACAACAGGATTAAACCAAAGTGAATTCCTCTTCGAACGATGAAGGTGGCATCACCTTCACCAACAGTCTTCATGTTTCACTTACGTATCACGTTTATTACTCCGCTGCCCCACTTAATTGGTCACGCAGGTATGTGGACAGAGGCTTATGACAATGAGAAGCAGCAGTGCATGAGGACAGACCCTGGAGCCACACCCATGGCTCAAATCCTGACCACTCACTGGCTGCGTGACCTTGGACAAAGCTGCTTAGCCTTGTTACGATTCGCTTTTCTCAACTGTGAGTGGAGACAGTAATGACAATAGTGCCTCGTTATCCGTGCATCCATCCACCCATTATCTGTCGTATGTCTGCTCTGTGACAGGCCCCATGCGAGGAAGCAGCAACATAAAGGCAAGAGATCCTCCAGCTGTCAGACACTGACTGAGGAAGTCACTTCCACCTTACTCAACATGTTCGTTTGAAATAAAACTTTAATCACCCTCTACCACCAAAAAGTTCCTGCTCCCCCATCCCAGTTTTCCCTGTATCATTATTAACCTTACATCCAGTTGCCCAAAGGGAAAAAGGAGTCATCTTTAATTAGTCATTCTCTCACGCTCCAGTATCCGATCCACGCAAGTCATGTTGGCTCAAACTTCAAAATACATCCCAAGTCTAACTTTGCTTCTCATCATCTTCAACATGATAATCTCTTGTGTGTACTACCATCAAAGCACCCTACCAATTGGTTTTCATGCTTCTGTTCTTGCTGCCTCTGAGCTCTCCTCAATAGAGCTAATAAGCTACTCTCCACACCCTCCCCCACGCCCTACCACCTTCTCAAAACCCACCAACAGCTTCCCATCACCCTAGAAGAAATTCAAACTCCTGTCTCAGAGTTTCTGTACTTGCTGTTTCCTCTGCCTGGAATGCTCTTTGTCAGAGCTTCCCATGACTCAATGCACTCCGTTAATCCTGTTTCTTCTCCAACAGTACCTCCGCAGCAAAGCCTTTTCTGAGCATCTTGTCTAAGACAGTCATAATTTCCACTTATTTGCTACTCCCAACTCTGTTCTATTTCCTTCACAGCACTGATCACTACTTGAATTTATATTACGTGTTTACTTGTTTGTTAACTGTGTCCCCAGCTAGAGTGCGGGGTGAAGGATGGAACGTGCTTTATCCATCTTGCTCACAACAGTATCCCCAATGTCTAAAACTGCCTGGCACACAATAGGGGTCCAATAAACATTTGTTGAATAAATGAATGAAGAGAGTAGGTTTAAGTGTTCAAAGTTCTCTGAGGTTAATTCTGCCTTAAAGTGAGGATAAGATTAAAAATAGAAGTTTCTTAGTTAAACATACCCTAGGATCCTTTAAAAATATTTTCTACTCCTTTCCTCCATGTTTTTCCCCTCAAACATTACTCAAACATCGTACATGTACCTTAGCTGTAAAGAAACTATAAACATGTAAACTGTTTCAGAATGTCTATTATTTAGAAAATTTTTTCAAAGTGGAGTATTTAGGGAACCTGGAGTAAAACTGAAAATTATTTATTGAATACGCTGTATGTACCAGGCACTGGGTCCAGTGGTAAGCAAACCAGTATAGTTTCTACCCACATGGTACTTACAGCTGATGGGAAGAGGCAGGTAGTAATCAAAAAAGGAAATCAGTAGATAATGACTAATTCAGGAAAATACTATGAAACAACAGAGTTCTCATAAAGAACAAAGAGGAGACCCATGTAGACAGGCAGTTCAAGGAAGACACCTGAGAAGGTTACACAGATGCTGAGGCAAGAAGTGGGAGGAGGAGGCTGAGCTGAGAGGAGCAGGGGCAGAGGTCTGCTACAGGATGAAAGAGCACGTGCTCAGAGGCTGCTGTTCTCTCAGGAGATGAAAAGAGGCCACCAGTACTGAAGTAAAGCAGTGCTGCAGAGGTGGAGAGGCTGCTAGAGGAAAAGGGAGCCGGCAGCCTGATTACAAAGAGTCTTATCGACCAGGATAAAAGGTTTGAATAATCTAAGAGGAATAGGACATTGATCACAAGAGAAACTGTATTTTAGGACAGAGATTTTTCTTGTCAAAAATCAGTAACATAGAGACAGCTAGTTCAAGTGTGTCTTGCTCCCCATTTTTATATTCTTACTACAGAAATGGGGTTCTAAAGACATCTGCTGAAAAACTGAGTGATTTACTGTGTTGCTTTCAGGAATGTATTCCAGGTGACAGAGCTCACCATAATCCACATTGACTTAGCTCTGTTACAAGTAGCGCAATTTTCTATCAATTTCCAATTCCTGGCTCCAATATGTGTAAAAGAATATGCTAGGCAGGCCTAGTGATAGCAAAACTAACTTTAGAGTTGTGCATACATAACTCAAAAATT